CGTGGTCTCGCTCTGGGCTGCACTCAAGATACACTGACTGCAAGACTGAACAGTCACCCCTGCCCCGCCTTCTAACTACTCACAGTGGGGTCTTTGCCAGCCAGTGTGCACTCTTCCACTTTGATTGCAGACGCCGGCCAGAAAACCTGCTCAGAAGGGAAAATGAAGGGTGTATAATCAATCACACTCGCATATATGACAGCTCAATGCTTTTCATTTACTGCTAATAGATTTCTTTTAAGGTCTATCTATACCTAAGTTTAAATATTCTTATTTAGTCTCAGGAACTCAAATCAATCAATAAAGATGTTATTTTGTGTGTTATAATAACTATATTAACTCTCCATCAAATTTGTCTGTAACACAAGTCTTTCAATAATGTGGCATTTTTACTACAATATAATATGAAAATAATGTCATCATTACTATAAATGTGCATTAGGTAGTCTAGTGCATATTGTCCACCTTTTGAGGGACAGGATATGTTATTTTAATTGCTGATGTCACAAGGAATTTATATTTCTATCTCAATTTAATATTATTTTTGCTAAGGAACACTGCCAGAATACTAAAATTTGCTTAAAATGGATCCCTAGATACTTCTAGCTAAAATAACTTGGATTATAACGAAGGGAATTGCTCTAGGAAAGAGTATGAGCCTTCTAAGCTGCTGTGCCAGTTCTGGCAAGAATGAGTTTTGTTGGTGTTGTAGTTGTTTTGTTGTTTGTTTTTTAACTGCCCTGTGTGAAAACAGTAAAGGCAGAAGCTTTGTTGTTGAAATAAATGAAAATTAATTTATTTTTACTTTTTTACACCAATCACACTCACTGTGCTTTCTTGTTGTGCAACAGAATCAACATTCATTTTACTTCCTTGTTGTATAATAGAACGATAAATATAAGTCACACCTTTTAAAGTAATAGTGTCCGTAATGAACAACCGGGATCCTTTCACGCCTTCCTTTTATCTGCTTGTGGTTTCATGCTACACTCATGTTCCTGGTTTTCCCTTTCTATAGACATACCTGAGGTCCCTGCAGAATACACATGGTCAACATGACTGGTAGCTAATTTAAAGTATGAAGATTCAGGGGCACCCAGAGGTGCCTTGAAAAAAAGTCCTGGCAAGGTGTCTTAGAAAAAAACCCCGAACCATTGCAAAACCCTAAGTAGTATGATTCTAACCTGACAAAAGTGAGCAGCCATGAGATGGGATTGACTCAGTGATAATGTGGTTAATTTAGTTTTGTTTTTAATAAACACACACACACACCAGGTGGCATAAATGGTCAACATGCTTGCTGCTAAATGGAAGTGTGGAGATTTGAGTCCACCCAGACGTACTTTGAAAAAAGGCCTGTCAATGTACTTTACAGAAAGTAACCCATGAAAGCACTCAACGGAGTCCTGTGCTACTCGGCCACACATAGGTGCCATGAGTTGGAACTGATTTTTGTTTTGATTTTCACACATATACAGAGGGAGGTGGGGCAGGCTCTGGGAGTTACAGAGTTAACATGCTTGCGTGGTAAGTGAAAGGTCTGGGCTGGAATCTATGCTGAAGAAAGGCCTGATGAAGTACTTCTGAAGCCTAACGGAGCAGAGCTCTCCTCTGACACCTGTGTGATCCCTGTAGACTGGGCTGGTGAGCAGCTAGCGAATGCAAGCACAAAGGAAGTGTTTTCTCAGTGAGCTAGAAGTATGGGATTGCTAGAAACTATGGCACTACACGGGGACAACAGGGGTGCTTATATTTCCAGTCCATGAAATGAGTACATACTTCTGACTGTTTATTGACATATGACAAGTAGTCCTTATTGCTGACCTTATAAAATATCCAATGGTTTTCTTTTTAATTGAAATGTTTAAAGAAAAAAGACATCTACAAGATCAATAGTGCACTCATAAAAATGATAAACTTACACTCAAAGGCTCTTGACTTATATTGTTAATATTCAAAGAAAGAATGTGATCTTTGCTGCCCACATATATGCGGTCTTGATCTTCGTCCATTAATAATATCCTGTAGTCTAAAGGATGGTGGGACAGGCTGAAATATTCTGAGGTCTTTGTTTCCCGCAGTTCTGAAATAGTGAACAGCACAAATAAGAACAGAGCATTAGTTTTAATAGAAAATCTCAAAGAACATTTATTTTTCAAAATCAAGATTATACCCTCCACACAATAACTTATTAATTAAAAATTATGTAGGTGTCATTTTTAATTCATTGCCTGTACATTGAGGTAAAATAAATCAGTAAATACAATGTTAAAGTTATGGTTATGTTATATGATTGTAAAATCACTCCAAGTTGCAAAAAATTCAACTCTTTTATTACTGCATATCATCTGCTCATATATTAATTAAAAAGTAACCAAAAGAAGACAATGAAGAGTTTCAATCAAAGTGATGGTGATGTGTAACTTCCTTTCTAGCCTCCAATTGGCTGCAGTTCACATTGATGCTGTGTACAACAGGTCACAACCCTCTGTACTTTCTTCATAATCACTGCTTTGTTTGAACCCGTTATCACTGGTCGCTGTGCCAATCCATCTCCGGAGAACATTCCTCTTTGATACCGGTTTTATCCTTGATACTCCGCAAACTCATCACTTTAAGTCAATTAATTCAGGACTATTTTCTATTCTAAATATTGACTTTATTTGACAACATCATTCTAACTAGTATATTCTTCTACAGATTATTTGAAAACCAACCACCTTGTTGCATCAAATTTCATTCAGAAGGCAACTTAATTTAAATGGCAGTTTATCTGCCTACATCAAAGAAAAAAACCAGAACTTTCCAATTTTCAGTACCTCAGTGTTCAATGACTTATTTTTATTAATTTCCTTTATAGTCTATGTGCCATTAGGTAGCTGACCTTTTGCAGACAATGAATATCATAATGATATAAAACATTGATGACTATATGACAGATTCCATTTTTTGCTTCCAAACTAAAATGCTCCTTCTTCACAGAATTTAAGATTTCTAGTCAAGTGGCTCCAGATTTTTATTTGCTTCTAATTATGATCCTAAGAGAATGCCAAACTATGAAATATTCTGCTTTTCGTGACTATTATTTCAGTGCTAAATCATTAAAAACTTTTAAAGTATTAGATTATAATTATTCCTACGAATTCCGGCATGGCCGATGTGTGACTAATTCAAAGTTGAACATTACAAAATTGTTTACAGGAAGCCATGAACAGTACTCTGTGAACGCTTGGGTCTTAGCTATATATCACAATTTTGATTTTTCTTTTTTCTGGGCATACCATTTCCAGACGCCTGCCCTAGGGCCATTGCATGGCACGCTGAAAATGCCGAAATGAACACAGCAGAGGGTGGATGAGGTGAGGGTCCGGTGTCCCACTTCTTGTGACATTGAACAAGGTATTTAAACTCGCTACACATTTATAAAAACAACAAAAACAGTTCTTTGTACTGAATTCGTCTATGGAACCACCTGTCGCCTTACATGTAATAATTTGGAAAGCATGGCAGGAAACTTCAATTGGTTTAAATTATTATCACTGTCATTAGTATTAGCATTGTTAAAGTTGATCACTAACAAGAGAGACGTGTGGGTATAGACAAAGTAGACATTTTTTTCTGTTTTCTTTTTGTTTGTTGTAAATGCAAGGCAAGAGATCTATGAATGCACCCTATAGAGTTGCTAAGGGACCCCGGTGGATTAGTGGGTTAAGTGTTGAGCTGCTAACCACAGGTCAGGAGTTGGAAGACCCCAGCCAGAGAGAGATGAGATGTTCTACATCCATAAAGATTTACAGGTGTGGCACACATACAGGGCAGTTCTACCCTCGTCCGTTTGACTGCTATTAGAATTGCAGTTGCTGCAATGATAAGCACAAGGTCAGTGGTTCAAGCCCACCAGTTGCTCCTTGGGAGAAAGATGAAAGCTCTTTGCTCTACTAAAGATTACAGCTTTGGAATCCCAAGGGAGTAGTTCTCCTTAGTCCTATACATTTCCACTATACATTGGCAATATCACAATGGGTTTGGTTTGGTTTGGGGTTTAGAGCTATACAATTACTACTGTCTTATCTGAAATAAAAACAAAGTCTTTAAGGTAGTTCCCGGTGGAAGAGAGAACGCTGGTGGCATCGTGGTTACACATTGGATTGCTAACTGCAAGATCATCAGGTCAAAACTGCCAGTTGCTCCCCAGAAGAACGATGACTTTCTACATCTGGAAAGAAGTACAGTCTCAGAGACCCAGGGGGACAGGTTTGTTCTGTTTTACAGCATTGCTGTGAGTCAGAGCTGATGGCGGTGAGTTTTTGTTTTGTTTTAATTTAATAGGGAAGAAACCATTTAAAAGTTAGATAAAACAATGCTTTTGAAAAAACATGAGAAGTAAATTCGTGAGAGTAGAGACCCTGAACTAATCCTCAAGGATCTTTTATTACTGACTATTTCTCTTATATGAGATTAAGAAAAATAAGCAAGTCCTTTATTTTGTGTAGCATCCTGAGTCAAAGCTGTTGTCTACTGTTGTAGAAATACTACACTAAGGGACAGACCTTAATCCAACCCAGGTCCTGCTCCTCATCTTTCTACCAGGTTGTGTTTAGTTCTGGTCTTTCTGTCTTCTTTGTCCCTAATCCATATTGAAATGAAACTCCAAGTATGATCTTCTTGAGTGCATCATTTCCACAGAAATTTGCTTCCAGGTAACAATAGAAACCCGCTGTGTTACCTGTTTCATTAGAAAGTAATTGATTTCTTGCACTCATTCAAATGCTAAAGAAGCAGTAACTACATCAACTTAAGATCTTTCTGGTTGAATGATTTTATTGCTTCTTTGAGCCATAAAGCTATCTTCAAATTTAATTACCTGTAGCTCATTGACAACTGACAGCTGTTAACCAAGACAGATTTACCTTAGAAGTGCCCTTGTTATGAGAGAAGCCCAGACTATTTTGTTTAAAGTCTATTTAAATGGCTGCTAGTAGGCATAATTGAAACTTGGGGCTTGGAGAAGGGGGACAAGAATTTGTTTTTGAAAATAAAAATAAGATGAGAACATTATCTATACAAAGGCCAAGAATCTATCGTTTTACTTTAAGACAGATCCAATTGAGGCCAGTTAATAATTCCTTGATTTGCCCAAAGTGAAAGAAAGGAACTGATTTAAGGATTTGGCAACAGTTATAAAAGGGAAAATGGTTACTTGTTCCTCCTCTAAACAAATTAAAGAAGGGCATTGTCTGACATTTCTTATTTCATGATACTGATGTCATCCTTTTTACAGCCCGGGAAATGCATGCTGATGGTTCTGTTTCTCAGGACATGTGCAAGTGATGAGGCTGACCTTGGCTGAAAGTACCTGGTCCTGGAAAATGCAGGAGCTCCGCAAGGGCACGGTGAGACTCCTGAGACAGAACAACTACAGATGTCTCATTGCCTGCTTCTGTACTGAAATCCACATGATCACAGACCTCCTTGCTAGAAAATTACTGTCAGGACTCCTTGTTGTTTTACGGAAATTTGCAGCACAATATGAGGACCTGAAATGTACGTTTTTGCATGGGCTTTTCTTTGTAATGGAAACAAACCACTGTGAGCCCTGAGAATTTAACCAGGGCTGGAAGAAGAAAAGGTTCTTGCCAATATGCACCCTAGTAATAGAACCTTCTGAGCATCCCTAGTAGTGCAGTGGTTAAGCATCTGCAGCAGTCTAAACACGACAGCAGGAGAAAGTTGTGCTTTCCCTAAAGACTATAGTCTTGGGAATCCTCTGGGTACTTCTCTGTCCTAAAGGAATGCTGTGAATTGAAATCATCTTGACACTTCGGGCAGCAAGGGTAGGCATGGGGAGATCATAGGTTTCTAGGTCTAGAGCTATTAGATCTTGATATAGCAATCACAATATAGTTTAATATATAGTAATATAGTCTGTCAAAAATTAGAGTCTACCTTTTGTTCTCTGTTAAACCAGTCAGTTGTCTTGGGATTTCTGAAGTAAGTAAAGCAGTCAGAAGCTGATTCGGGTGTTCAGAATTTTGATCTAGGTTGAGGAGAGTGAAAAGTCTAGGGTTCTGTTTTATTAATTTATACCTATTAAACAACACAGGTAGCATGGGAACCCATTCCCTCCAACTCTATATTGTCTCTGGCCTCTTAGAAAATTAAAACATAAGCAAAAGCTGAGTTGGTTGAAATATCGATTTCCAGGGTTGTTTCTTTTCCAGGAACATAATACAACTTTGATGACACAAGCAGACTGAATCACAAATGTTCTTAATTCCCAAGGCAAATGCAGGCCACAGGCAAGCCACTAAAATATACAACACCTATAATAATCCCCAAAGTACTACTATGTGTGGGTTTATGTTTATAGGAACTAATCTTGGTGCTTTATAAAAAAATATTTAGTTCTTATTCTAAAGCCTCTTTTTAGTCTTAATATTATTCCTGTTTCACATACAATTCAGAAAGGACAATTCAGTGAAGTTCAGGGCTAAGGAACATCCTGAGATCCAAAGCAGTTTGTTCCTTAGTCCAGGGCTTGAGCTGGTTGCCTTCCTGATTTTCTAATTAGATGTATTTGTTGGGTTCCTGCTACTTTCTCAACAAGCAGCTGACTCTGCAGGACTAGAGCCTCAGCCTCTGGAATTTTCTTTGCTAATTGGTGATGGGGAGGGGAGGGTGGCGGTGGGGTAGCAGAACCCAACTGGAGAACAAAAACTATTCTCATCCATAGAGTGGGATCCAAGTGTCAGCTATAGCACCAGGTAGAAGGTAGAAAGGTTCATTGTTTCTGCCCTTTGATGGGTGGAAAGGATTATGAAAATGAGCCTAGGAGGGACCGTTCCATGCAATGATTCTAGCCAAGAAAGCGAAGAAGGCTATTCCTACTCCTAGCCTAGGAAGGAAGATAAGGAAACCTGTAGGAGCCTCTAGGAAGGACTCCCTCAGGACAGCTTTCCTCCTGATGTGTCTCAGGTCACTGAAGTTAATGTTCGTGTTTTCCCAGCGTAATGATCCACATGTCCTCCCATCCACTCAAGGCAGTCTAATGTTAAGTTCCCTCCTTCTAATTGTTTTGAACAT